GTCCGTGCCCGGTCCGTCCCCGGCGCGGTCCCCGCCTGAGCCCCGTCTCTCGCAGGCCGCTTCGGTAACCAAGCCGAGCATTTCCTGGGAGCCCTGGCCTTCGCCCGCGCCCTCAACCGGACCCTGGCCGTGCCGCCCTGGATCGAGTACCGGCACCACCGCCCGCCCTACACCAACGTGAGCCCCGGCGGGCGCGGGGAGGGAGCGGGGGCGCGGCGGGCAGGGCTGGGAGCTCTCCGGGAATGAGCTGCGGGCCCCGGGTAAGGGGATCCCCGGTTGACGGGCTCTGTCCCCCCACAGCTGCACGTCCCCTACTCGGAGCACTTCAGGCTGGAGCCGCTGCGGCGGTACCACCGCGTGATCAGCCTGGAGCAATTCATGGAGCATCTGGCGCCCCGGCACTGGCCGCCCGGCAGGAGAGTGGCTTATTGCTTCGAGGCTGCTGCCCAGAGAAGCGCGGACAAAAGCACGTGTCCCATGAAGGTGAGTTCACTCCTCAGCCCCGCGGGCACGGCTTAATTCCAAAGGCTGTGACTGACGCATTCAGGTCGCCATTGATTTGCAAATTTAGAGTTACCCACCAAAAATCGGTCTGTGTGGCGTTGCTTTCGCCACTTGTGGAGTGGCATGCTGTGCCTTCATTAGTTTTCATTGTCTACAAGTGCTTGGGGATGGGGACACAGTCTGTGCAAGTAGATTTTGTCACCTCAGATTTAATTGTTACTGTAGCTTACCTCCTGCTCTCTGTTTCCTAGCTGTGGTAGTTTTCCAACTGGTGTTAAAGCAACCTCTCTTAACTACTAGTTTGGAAGCTGTGGTGCCCTTGTTCTTTAAGACAACCTTTGCAACCTTCTCAGTGAACTTCCCTTCCTGTGGAGCTGGTGTGTCAAACAGGCTGTTGTATTCCAGCTGCTTCCATCCTGGAACAGGCTCCTGCTTTGCACCTCAGGTTCTTGCTAGATCCATCTTTCAGGCTTTGTGTGTGCGCTGAATGGATGCTTGTCTTTTCTTTGCAGGATGGAAATCCATTTGGTCCCTTCTGGGATCAGTTCCAAGTGGATTTTGATAAGTCTGAGCTCTTCAAGGGAATTTCCTTCAGTCCTGCATACAAGGACCATTGGATCCAAAGGTAGCACGAAGATGGAAAAGTGCTGGCAGGTCGCTGAGCATTTAGAGTCACTCAGGAAAGCAGCTGTGACTGTGTATTGTGACTTCACATTTTGAGGGAGAGATTGAAGTGGTTAGTTAGTAATATAGTTAAAAATATTAATGCTTTTTCCATTAAATATTTGCTGAGCACTTCCTGTGGGCATTATTTTAGGTATGAACTCTGTTAGACTGATTGACTTCTGAGCCAGGAATATTTGATTTATTAAGTATTTATTTATTAAATATGTAATTAATCAGAAATATTTGGTTCTCAGTTGGTGATTATGAACTGTATTTTGTTGCTTACCTCTTGTTTTTAGAGCTATGAGTGACTTGAGTGCTTATCAGTAAGTTTGGGTGACAGAATTGCTCTAGTCTGGGGTGACAATGTAACATCCCATTGCTTGGTAGCTCCCTACTGCATGTTTGAGATTCTTCTCTTACTGGCTGTCAGATAAAAGGTCTGAGGTAAAATACAGTCCCTGAGATTTCTTCAGTTCAGATGGCAAAACTGTCAGCTAAAACTGTCTAAATTTGGAGCAATAAATTCTGCATATTTTGGTGTGTTCCTGCTCTCTAACCTTCACAGCAGTCTTCATGCAGGTTAGGTCACGTTTCAGACTGCTGAGGTTTGGTTTTCCATAGGTTTCCACCCTCTGAGCACCCTGTTCTCGCCTTACCTGGAGCTCCAGCCCAGTTTCCTGTCCTGGAGGAGCACCGGCCCCTGCAGAAGTACATGGAGTGGTCGGATACGATGGTGAAGAAGGGAGAAGCCTATATCCAGTCTCTGCTGCTCCGGCCCTACGTTGGCATTCACCTGAGGATCGGCTCGGACTGGGTACGGCAGCGGCTGGAGGCCAGTGACAAGTGGGATGTGGGCAAAGCTGCACAAAAAGGAGCTGTGCTGGGAGACCCACCTGATCTCTGCTGACATCCAGGAGCTCCCTGTGTGTTAGCAGTGCCTCTGGGATTCTTTCAGACAGGCAGAGCTTGGGGGTGTGGTGGTGTTTTCTCACTCAAATGTGGTGCTTTGAAAACGAAAAAAAGTTGTGGCAAGGTCTCTCCTTGCAGCAACAGGACAAAGGGAAATGGCCTCAGCTTTGCACCAGGGGAGGTTCAGGTTGGATATTATGGAAAAATTCTTCACTGAAAGGCTGAGCACTGGCCCAGCCTGCCCAGGGCTGTGGTGGAATTGCCATTCCTGGAAGTGTCCAGAACACAAGTAGATGTGACACTTTCTCATAAGGTTTAGTGGGCACAGGATATCTGTTCAAAGTTTGGATTTGATAATTGCAGAGGTCTTCAACTTTGATGATTCTGTGATTCTCTTTTCCTCTTCCAATAGAAAAATGCCTGCAACATGTTAAAGGATGGGACAGCTGGGCCCCACTTCATGGCTTCACCACAGTGTGTGGGCTATGATCGGAGTGCTGCAGTGCCTCTCACCATGGACATGTGCCTGCCAGACCTCAGAGAGATCAAACGGGCTCTCAAGCTCTGGGTGGCAAAAATTGAAGCTAAATCTGTTTATATTGCTACGGATTCTGAGCCCTACACAACAGAAATACGACAGTTCTTCCAGGAAAAGGTGTGTCTTCCAGAAACCTCTTCTGGCAGGAGTGCTTGGATAAAAACCTCCCTTGGACTCTGGCCCAATCCTATCATGGACAGTAGACAGGCAGTTGTGGAATAGGTTATTCACTGCCAAATATTATCATCTCAAAGTGAATTTGGCTCATAGCAATAAAAATTATCCTGTAAAACTTTTTTTTTTGCAGGAGATTGAAGAGCATTGTCTGGCATGGTAGTAAATATTTCCATGAAAAGGGTTTAAATTAAATAAACCTAAGTGATTTTGAGAAATGTTCTGACGTTGATCTAATCATAAATGAGTTATAGGGCAGAGAAAGACAAAACTCAATCTCTTTCTCTTGTATATTCCATTTCTAATACTATGCCAAGACATTGGATTGTGATAATAGCTGACTGGATTCATCTGCTCTCGTTTCTCTGCAGCTCAAGGTTGTCAGCTTGCAGCCAGAAGTGCCTCAGATTGATCTGTACATCCTTGGCCAGTCCGACCACTTCATTGGGAACTGTGTCTCTTCCTTCACTGCCTTTGTGAAAAGAGAGCGCGACATCCATGGGAAACCCTCCTCATTTTTCGGCATGGATCACCCACCGAGGCTGCGGGATGAGTTCTGACCGAAGGAGGAAGAGGCTCTGTGGTTCCAGGACTCTGAGCTGGGTCTTTGGTGCTGCAGCATTCCCTGTGAGCAGTCATTGCTGGGCTGTGGGAGAGCTCCTGCCCTCCAATGCTCCTCACAGTCTCTTCCAGACTGTTCTGTCTGATCTCTCCTGTGTTTCCAGTGTGAGCTCTGATGGAAATTTAAATCATGTAGTTGATGGGAAACTATAAACTATATATAGTTTTTTAAGATGTAGCTTTTATAGCTCTCCATTCTCACTAGTTGGGATTCACCAGCAATCATGATGAAGCAGCTGCTCAGATTTCCTCCTCTTTTCTTTCTCCGTTAATTTTTAACTCTCACCTGGAGATGTTTTGAAGCTTCATGTCTAAAACTGACTACAGTTGGTTCTTTTTGAATGTAAAACTTTTGTTGGGCATATCAGGTGAAGCTCAGGACTGAAAAAGCTCTGGGTTTATCAAGGACCATAGTTGTCTTACCAGACCTGTGTCACCACAGTGCCTCAGTGTCCCTTCTCCTGTCCAAAGAGATTCCATCCCCAGTGCTGTGGGGCCCTGGATCTCTTTGGTGGTGCTGGAGGAGTGCAGTGGGACATGGTGTGACATGGCAGTTGCCTGTTCAGCCTCTCTGCATCAGCCTGGGGCAAGATGTGTGCAGGGACATGGCAGGGGAGATCTGTCACAGCCAGTCTGGAACTGGAGACTGAGGGCTTGTAGCTTTGTAGGTGTTGATGTCAATGAGGTCTATGGTAGAAGAGAAACTTGGAGCCATGGTTTTTAAAATAGCTGTAGTGGGGTTGGGTATGTCATACCTGGGTCTATTGTATTGTTTTGTTTTTGTACTTTATAAGATAACCTCTCTGAGAGCATTACACTTGTCTGGGGCAGTTCCCAGTGAAGGTAACTCTGGAAAATTATTCATTGATGGGGAAGCAACAGCTCAGACCCTTCTGTTTGGCCTGGTGTGGTTAGATGCTGGTAACACTGATAATCCCAACATGGTGAGACTCGACCAATGCCTTTTAGTACTTCTGTGACTTTGTTTTCTGGTCCAAAGACTGAGTACAGAACAGTTCATTTTTCAAAAATTCCACTTGGGTGAGTCTGTGGTACCAGAGCTGCTGCCTCCAGTGCACTGCTGCAGTCCAGGCAAGGCAGTTATGAGCGGTTAACTCCACATGTCTCTTTTAAAGGTGGTCTTTTCCTCCTTGAAATGTTTCTGAGCTTTGGAAGAGTTTGAAGGCTCAGGGGAGTGAGCAAAAGAGGTCAAAATGAGAAGGTCCCTCAGACCTCAGGGTGGCAAAATCTCATGTCTTGTTTCCTCAGGGCTGGCTTCAAAAATTACGGGATTTGAGGGAAAATTATCAGGTTTTGGGGCCTTTGGGAGCTGGGCTTTTGAAGACAACCTCATTGTGTCATACAGTTTACTGATCTTGGGTGATGCCCTTGGGGGCTGCCTTGCCTTGCTGTGAAGCAGGGCAAGCCTTTCCCCACACTGTTGGGAAGACAAAAGTATTAAAATGTTAGGGTGGGGTGCTTTTTTTTTAAAAAAAAAAAATAAGGTATTTTTTTGTACTAATAAAAACTTGACTTTGTATTGACTCGTAGTGCACCAGCATTCCTTCCTCCATAGCAGGAGTCTCAGGTACCAGAGCTGCAGCCTCCACTGCGCTGCTGTGGTCCAGACAACTCTGATTGATGGGGTTTAACTCTTACATATCATTATGGTGGTCTTTTTCTTCTTGGACATATCCCGAGCTTTGGAGGATTTTAAAGACCCCAGCTGGGTCAGAGCGGCGGGCCCCACCGGGCTGGGGCAAAACGCGGTACTTTGAGGTTTGGCGGCGCATCCCGCCGGGCTGGGGCAAACCCGGGTACTTTGGGGTTTGGCGGGGGCCCCTTTGTCCCGGCTCCATC